CCCCACCTGTTCATCACCTCTTACGTACAAGGCCAGCCACGTGGATGACAGGTTGAGCGCTGGCTGCCCCCATCCATCCCCGTGTGTCACAAGGAGGACCTACTTGCACGCACGCAGCCAAAAGGCAAAAAAGAGAGGTAAGGAAAAGGAGGAGGAGGAAACCAAACCTCACAGGGAAAGAAAGCAAATGACACATCCCACAGATAATCCAATTGTCACAAAGCAAATAACACATCCCACAGATCAACATTTTTTTTTTTTTTTCGTTATTATCGTCAAACAGAAGTGCCCATAAAAGTGAGGAGTGCAGAGTCGTATACATACATTGTTTTGTTGATTCGCGTTTTCGTTCCCCTCAGCGCCCGTGTCCACCGGGTCGGAATCCCGTTCGCCGCGATGACCACCATCATCATCATCATCATTAGCACCATCTTCATCATTAGCTTTTCGACGACCACCATCATCCTCCTCCTCGTCCTCCTCTTCCATCCTCCTCCTCCTCCTCCTCCTCCTCCTCCTCTTCGGCACTCTCTCCATCTTTCCTCCCCCCAATGCCGCAGTCTCAGCTATGGTATCTCCTCCCCCTTCACCTGCACTCCCTACCTGACGTTCTTCTTCACCCTCCTCCCTGCCATCTCCACCATCGCCGCCATCGCCGCCCCCATCGCCGCCCCCATCGCCGCCGCCATCGCCGCCCTGGCTGTTCGCCGTCATCGCCGCCATCGCCCTGGCCGTTCGACCACCTGCTGTTCCACCATCGCCGCCGCCATCGCCGCCATCGCCGCCATTGCTTCGCTCCATCTTCTTCTCCTCTGCATCAACTTCAACTCGAAGCACACGTTCCTCTTCCTCAGCCATCTCGTCGTCTTCGCCCATCTTCATGGTCGCTATCCCGTCCGCCATATCCGGGAGGACGGGCCGCTCCTCCTCTCCTTTCTCTTTCACTCTCTATTCCCTCCTCTCTCTCTCTCTCTCTCTCTCTCTCTCTCTCTCTCTCTCTCTCTCTCTCTCTCTCTCTCTCTCTCTCTCTCTCTCTCTCTCCGGCTCCCATCACTCTCGTTCACACGAGGTCAACTCCCACAAGGTGTCATGTTGAGCTGACTCCATCAACGAAGCACTCTCCAACTCATTGGGGAATTAGATTGATTGATTGATTGATTGATTGATAATTAGATGGACATTGATTGATTGATTTACTTGATTGGCCGATCGATCGTTCCACCTTCTATCCTCGATCACCCTTGATGTCGTTAATTAATCAAACCACATCTATTCCATGACATCAAGGTTGATTAATTACATCAGGGTTGATTACATCACATCTGATACCTTTGCCCCCCTCCACCTCTCCTTTCATACGCCCGCGACCTTCCACTACAGGTCCTCTCCTCCTCCTCCTCCTAGCGACCACCACCTCCTCCTCCTCCTCCTCCCACCCCCTCCTCTCAACCCACCCTTCTATCAAACAACCAACCCCCTATTAAACCAAAGCCTTGAATGAATTACTCCCCCTACATCCCCAACCACCACCCTCGACCGCTTAATCGACAATCTAGGCACCCACTTGCACACCCACTTAAGGCACACCCACTTAAGGCACCCCACTTAAGGCACCCACTTAACCCCTTTAACAAGTACATCAACCACAACCCCCTTCTTCTCCGTTCGAGTTGCTATGCTTGTAATCAAAACGTCAAATTAGAGCACCCAATCAATCAATCACTCACTCAATCAATCAATCAATCAATCAATCAAGCAAGCAATCGATAGCTCCCAACCACACATCGACGACCTGATTACACACTTGATCTCTATGACCACCACCCACCCCCTCTTTGCTGGGAGAACAACCCAACCCGCACAGTCAGACAACCAAACAATCAACCGTCCGACCGAAGCACGCCCAACCAATCAATCAACAAACCAATTAACCCATCACGAGCGCCATCAACCAATCTCTCTCTTTGCTCGATCGAAAACTCATCCTGAGCTGGAACTACCTACGACTTTTTCCCTCCCGCTGTCAACCCCCCCCCCCCC